TAAATTCCAGTTAGTTAACACACAGAGTAATGTTAGTTTCAAGTGTAAAATGTAGTGATTCATACATCACCCAGTGCTCATCACAGGTGTCCTCCGTAATTCCCATGACCTATTTATCCCATTACCTCACCTGCATCCCCTCTGCTAGCCATCAGATTGTTCTCTATAATTAAAAGTCTGTTTTTTGGTTTACCTCTCTTTTTATTTTTGACCCCCCTCATTATTCATTTGGTTTGTTTATCAAACTCCACATATGAGTGAAGTTATATGGTTTTTGTTTTTCTCTGACTGACATATTTTGCTTGGCACAATACTCTGTAGCTCCATCCATGTCATCACAAATGTCAAGATTTCATTATTTTTTATGGCTAAGTAATATTCCATTATAAATATATATATACACATACATATATATGTATATATACACAGATATTTTTATGTATATATATATCTTTATCTAAACTATGTATCTATATCTATAACCCATAACTTCCTTATCCATTCATCAGTCAATGGGCACTTGGGCTGTTTCCGTGATTTGGCTCTGGTAGACAATGGTGCTTTAAACACTGGAGTATATGTATCCCTTTGAATTAGTATTTTTCTATTCTTTGGATAAATATCCAGTGGTGATTTCTGGATCTTAGAGAAATTCTATTTTAACATTTTGAGGAAACTTCTTACTATTTTCCAGAGTGATTACACCAGTTTCCATTCCTACTAATATTGCAAGAGGGTTCCCCTTCTCCATATCCTTTCTGACACCTGTTGTTTTTTGGGTTGTTGATCTTAGACATTCTGATTGGTGTGAGGTGATGTCCATGATAAAGTTGTATGGGTGAAATGTCTTTATAAGTAATCTTCAAATGGTTTGGCAAAATATTTACACATATAGACAGAGATAAAGCAAATATGGCAAAACGGTAATAATTTAGGAATCTAGTGAAGGCTATCTAGGTGTTCATTGTTAAATATTCCCACAGCTTTCTTATAGTTTTAGAATTTAAAAAACGAAAAGTTGGAGTAAAATTTAAAATGTTAAAAAAGCCCAAATATTTAAAACAAATGAGTCATTAAAAAACAGATCTTCTTAAAATGTATCTGTCCTTTACAGAGCATGTTTTTCTGCCATCTCATTTTACTGTGAGATATAAATAAATAGGCTTAAAAAAGAAGAATCTTGCAGTAAAATCAGTGCTTGAAGGGAATGTATAGAATTGAATGCATATATTAGAAAAGAAGAAAAATCTAAAATCAATAATCTAAGTTTCCATTCTAGGAACTTAGAAAAAGAGGAACAAATCAAATCAAAGTAAGAAGAAGAAAAGAAATAATATGAATTAGAGCAAAAATCAATGAACTGGAAAACAGGCATTCAATAGAGAAAATCAATGAAACCAAAAGCTTGTTCTTTAAAAAGACCAATAACATCAAAAACTTCTAGCTAGGCTAACTGAGAAAAAAAGGAGAGAAGATACAAGTTACTAATATCAGAAATGAAAGAGGTGACATCACTACAGCTTCCATGGAAATTAAAAGAATAATAAAAGAATACTATGAATAGCTCTGTGCCCACAAATTTGACAATCTAGGTAAAATGGACCGATTCCTTTAAGGACACACTCTACCAAAACTCACATAAGAAGACACAGATGATCTGAACAGGTCTACATCTATTAAAGAAATTGAATCAATAATAAATTTCCAAAGCAGAGAGCGCTAGTCTCAGATGGGTTCACTGGCGAATTCTATCAAACATTTAAGGAAGAAATTATACTAATTCTCTACAATCTTTTCAGAAGATAGAAACAGAAAGAATATGTCTTAACTTATTCTATGAGGCCAGCATTTTCCTGACATCAATACCAGACAAAGACATTACAAGAAAACTACAGATTGATAACTCTCATGAACATAGGTATAAAATACCCTATAAAATATTATGAAATCTAATCCAAAAAAGTATATAGAGAATTATATACCATAACCAAGTGAGATTTATCTTAGTTATGTAAGGCTAGTTCAATATTTAAAAAATCAATGCAACCTATCACATCAATAGATTTAAAAAGAATAATCACATGATCATATCAATAGATACAGAAAAACATTTGACAAAATTTAACAGCAATTCATGTTAAGAACTCTTAGTAAACTAGGAAGAGAAGGGAACTATCTATTGATAGTTGATAGTCTATTGATAAAGACTACCTACAGAAAAGCCTACAGCTGACACCATACTTAATGGTGAGAAAGCTTTCCACTAATATCAGGTACAAGGCAAGGATGTTTCCTCTCCCTACTCCTTTCCAACATCATATTAGAAGTTCTAGTTAATACAATAAAGCAAGAAAATAAAATAAAATATCTATAGAGTGGAAGAAAGATATAAACCTCTCTTTGTTCTCAGGTGACATGTACTGACAAAAAAAAAAAAAACCCTCCTTGAACTATAATAACTGATCATAGCAAGGTTGCAGGACACAAGGTTAATATACAAACATCCATTGTTTTCTGATATCCAACAATTAACAAGGGAAATTTGAAATAAAAATGCAAATATAATTTACCTTAGTCTCCAAGAAATGAAATACTTAGGTATAAATCTAACAAAATATATACAAGATCTATATGAGGAAAACTACAATATTCTTATGGATAAAATCAAAGAAGAACTAAATGATTAGAGATGTTGCATGTTTATTATGGATACAAAGACTCAATATTGTCAAGATGTCAGTTCTTCCAAAACTGACCCATAGATTCAATTCAATCCCAATCAAAATATTAGCAATTTAGTTTTTAGATATTGATAAATAGATTTTAAAGTTTATATGAAGAGAGAAAAGACCCAGAATAGCCAACATGGTATTGAAGGAGAAAAAAAAAGTTGGAGGACTGACACTACCCAATTTCAACTTTTTACTATAAAGTTTCAGTAATCAAGACAGTGTGGTACTGGTAAAAAGATAAACAAATCAATGGATCAGAATAGACAGCCCAGAAATAGATCCTCACAAATATGATCAATTGATCTTTGACAAAGGAACAAAGACAATATAATGGGGCAAAGAGAGTCTCCTCAACAAATGGTCCTGGAATAACTGGACATCCACATGCAAAGATATGAATCTAGACACAGACCATACACCCTTCACAAACATGATTATTTCTACTTATGGAAGTGGTAGAGAAAATTATGTTTAAAAATGTATCATAGACCTATGTATAAAATACAAAACTATCAAACTCCTAAAAGATAGTGTAGGATAAAGACCAGATAAACTTGAATATGGTGATACTGTTTTAGATATAACCTCAAAGATGTGATCCATGAGAGAAAAGAATATGTTGATTTCATTAAAATGAGAAACTTCTCTAAAAATGAGAAAAGGCAATATAAAGGCAATTAGAAGACAAATTACATACTGGGAGAAAGTATTTGCGAAAGATATATCTGATAAACGACTATTATCCAAAATATACAATGAACTCCTAAAATTCAACAATAAGAGAATAACCTTCTTAAAAAATGGACCAAATATCTTAACAGACACTTCATCAAAGAAGATATACAGATGGCAAATAAGCATATTAATTAAGCATGTAGAAAGATGTTCCATATGTCATCAAATAAATTAAAACAGAACTGTGATAACTACTTAAACACCTATTAGAATGGCCAAAATCCAGACCACAGACAATACTAAATGCTGGTAAGGATGTGGAGCAACAGGAGCTTTCATACATTGCTGATGCGAATGCAAAAATAGTAGAGCCACTTGGGAAGACAGTTTCTTTGGAACACAGTGGATTCTTAAAAAGTTGATATAATTTTACCGTATAGCTCAGCAATCATGCTTCTTTGTACTTACACAAAGGAGTTGAAAAATTATGTCTACACAAAACCTGCACATGGATGTTTATAGCGGCTTACTCACAAATTGCTAAAACTTGGAAGCAACCAAGGTGTCCTTCAGTAGGTGAATGGATAAAGAAATTGATACATTCAGACAATGGAATATTATTTAGTGCTAAAAATAAATATGTTATTGAGCCATGAGAAGACATGGAGGAAACTTGAATGCATATTACTGAGAGAAGCCCATCTGAGAAGGCTACATACTGTAAGATTGCAGCTATATGACATTCTGGAAAAGGCAAAACTATGGAGACAATAAAGAGTTCAGTGTTTGCTAGTGGCAGGAAAAATGAATATACAGAGCACTGAAGATTTTTAGGGAAATGAAAATGCTATATTATATCACATGATATTATAATGATAGATATATATCACTGTATATTTTTCTATAAACATGGAACATACAACACTGACTGTGAACTGTAAGGTATGTTGTGGACCTTAGCTAATCACGATGTGTCAGTGTAGGTTTATTGTTGGTAAAAAAAAAAATACCATTCTGGTGAGTGATGTTGATAATGGGGGAGGCTATATGCATGCGGCGGCAGGGGGTAAATGGGACATCTCTGTAACTTCCTCTCAGTTTTACTATAAGTCTAAAACTGCCCTAAAGAATGAAGTCTTAGAAAATCTACATTTTTTAAACTTATGGTCTAGGCAATGAATGGGATGATTATTACTAATATGGAACACTTTTCCACTGACAGGATTCCAGGAAAACAGATGGAAGTTCTAAATCCATGTGTACATCTTTCAAGATATTTAAAAGTAAAAGAAAAATATGTCTTGAGTAGTGTTCAAAGGGATTTGAACATTATTTTCACTTTATCTTTTAAAAGACATTAAATTCCAGGGGATCTCAGCTTTGACGATTTCCTGCTAGTTGACTACCTAGGTCTTCTTTCCTTTTGAGTTAGAACTTCCTGTGTCATTTTTCAAGAGAGACATGGAGTTGTTATTATGATGAGCAACTTACTATTTTGTTGCCTCTTTTTGGAGTTGATGTGGTAGGATTTTGACTGGATCCAGGCAGAAACTTTATGACCCCTTTCTTGTCTTTTTTTTTTTTTTTGTACAGATCAGAGGCAACAGAACTGGAACGAGGGCACTCATAGCCTTTTGGTATGTAATTGAAAATTGTTCAAAATGAATTATTATTTTTTTAGTGATATTTATGACCTGAAGGGCTTGTACTCCATTTTGTTATTCTAATTTGTGAACCATACTATAATAGGATTAATGCAGAGGGAAGCTAATAGAACTAATAAACAACAAACTATCTTTGGTCCTCTGGATTTCCCTTGAAAATGGATTCTTGGTGGTAATTGCTTTCCAATGGGAGGGTTGTTTAGAAAAACAATTTATATACAGAATGATCTTTTTTGCCCCTCTCAGTGGTCAGGAACATACTGTAACTATCAAAGTACCATAGAAGTATAATTATGTGAAGGATTTATTTATTTTTATAAGCAAGTGTGTTTAGATGCCCAAATGCAAATTGAATGCTCTAGAAATGAGGCATTTACTGATATAAATTTACTACTGATTCAAATAAAATATTTACATTTAATAATTATAATATAAAAGTAAAACAATCCTAAGATGTTCTTGCCTTTAAAGTTCATCACTAATGATCTAAGCAACACTGGAGTTCTTTGAATATGTGTGTAATTCTTCTCATCATTCTTCTGATTTTATATTTATAAAGTAATTTAAAAAGAATTATTATATGTCTTAGTTCCCTTTTTTAAAAAAGATTTTATTTATTTATTCATGAGAAACACAGAGAGAGAGACAGAGAGGGACATAGGGAGAGGGAGAAGCAGCCCCCTTGCTGGGAAATGCAAGGGAAGCTTTATTTATTTATTTTTAAGAAAGTAATAGATAGAGCAGGAGCAAAGATGGAGGGATAGAGGGAAAAGGAGAGAGAATATCCTAAGCAGGCTCAACACCCAGTGCAGAGCCTGATACAGGGCTTGATTTTAAGACTCTAAGATTAGGGCAGCCCGGGCAGCTCGACGGTTTGGCGCCACCTTCAACCCAGGGCGTGATCCTGGAGACCTGGGATGGAGTCCCACGTCAGGCTCCCTGCATGGAGCCTGCTTCTCCCTCTGCCTGTGTCTCTGCCTCTCTCTCTCTCTCTCTGTGTGTCTCTCATGAATAAACAAATAAATCTTAAAAAAAAAAAGACCCTAAGATTATGACCTGATCTGAAATCAAGAGTTGAGCACTTAACTGACTGAGCCACCCAGATGCCCCAACAAGGGAAGCATTCTTTTCACAACTATCTATCAAGGACACATTTTTTGGGTTTGTGACTCTTAGGATACTACTGAAAATCTGGTAACTTTTCAGAAAGTATTAGTATATTAATTTAAGTGCCATTATTTTTCTATGAGCCAAACGATAATAATAATAATCACTACTGCCACTGGCATGCACTTTCTACCACTCCCAATTATATTACAACTATTTTTGAAACATTGCTACCCCTGACCCATTAGTCTCCATCATGCTTTTTGGTGAGCATTGCCCTCTCTTTTCCTTCTGTAGTTATTAAAACCCATTGTTGTGGTTGTCCAACTCACTGACAAAAAAAAATTAGTTTTAGTGCATAGGTTTGCTGTTTATGTGTCTTTAAACACATAAAGTTCTATTGTTTCAACATAGGTGTATTTAAGATATGCATTTATTCATGAGACAGATTGTGTGACTTGGTCAATAATACTCTTACATTGCCTTCTATGGTAAAGAACCCTTTATACCCCATAACATTTGATGTTTCGTTGAGGAATTATTTTATTTATTTTATTTTATTTTATTTTATTATTATTTTATTTTATTTATTTTATTTTATTTTATATTTTATTTATTTTAAAGATTTTACTTATATATTCATGAGAGATGCAGAGAGAGACGCATAGAGAGATACAGGCAGAGGGAAAAGTAGGCTCCCCTCAGGGAGCCTGATGGGGGACTCAATCCCAGATTCTGGGATCGCATCCTCAGCTGAAGGCAGATGCTCAACTGCTGAACCACTCAGGAGCCTCCGTTGAGGAATTTTAAGTGATAGTTTTCCTACTTATGCTTTTCATTGGTGGTTTGCAAACTAGTTACTCAAAGGTATTGACAAAAATTGGTGGATTTTACTACCTTTAAAAGTGTCAAGTACTTTTTCTAGCAAAACACTTCTGACACTCAGATTAGGGGCCTTCCTGTTATGAAAGGTATGTGGAAAGAACCTGGCTTGTTGTCAGAAAAAGATATGTAATGAGGCAACCTTGCATTGATGGAAACACTAGGTTAGATGAACTCTATGGACTCTTATAACATAAAACTTGACAATTCTTATGGAAGATGATAGTCAGCCAATGACCAAATTAGATAATCTGAGTTTTGCTAAGCATTATAGAAATTCTTGTGCTGAACAAAGTCACAGACATTATAGTGGTGAAAATGACAGTCTCTGAATTCAGATGGCCTGGGTTTGATCTCGTCTCTGGCACTACTAGCTATGTGACCTTGGTTATTTCACTTAACATGTATGTGCCTCACTCTCCTCACCTGGTGAAGGGAGATAGTACTAGTACCTCCTAAAGCTGATGCAAGGATTTGATGAGTTAAGTTGACCATAGCTCTTAGAACAAAACTTAGTGTACAGTTAGGTACTCAATCAGTGTTAGTTATGAGAGATGAATGGATGATATTGTCATCAGTTGAGGCATCTGTTTCTCTTGGAGATTCTTATACAGTTCTCACTAAACCCCCAAATTTATGACCTTTAAGAGTAGAGTGCATCTGGTAATGATTTCTTTGAGTTTCCAGCAACTGATCTCTTCAAGTATTTTGCTGCTGTCTTGGCTTTACCTAACATGAAGACAAAGCTCAGACTAATCATTGCTTTCTCCTTACCCCAACCTTGTGGATATTACTTCTATCATATCATTTTCTGAGCTCAATTTCCCATCTTCCCCTCATTGCCTCATGCAGGCTTTTCTGCATGCATTGAAACACTTCTGGATCCCAGATTTTACAACAAAGAGACTTATTATAGTATTTTTTTTCTAGAAAAGTTAGATGTTTACCTAAAAGAAAGCATTGAGCCAGCTACTAGGATAATAAAACACCCTCCAACTTGATGCAAAAGCATATTAATAATTTTCATTTTTACCATTGTCGTTAAGCAATAGTAAAGGATCTTTGTTTTTATAGTAACTCTGGTATGTTAAAGGCATGATTCTTAGTCCAAGTATGTGTGATGAAACCAGAGAGTTCATATTTAGTTCTTACTTACAGGTCCCTACATCTCTGGTCCCATGATTATTTTGAGTTCTTCATAGAATGTTTCTTCACTTTTAAAAATTGTGGTAAAATACCCATACTGTAAAATTTACCATGTGAGCCATTTTTATTCCATATCAAATATATCCATGTTTGGTGGTATTAAATACATTCATGTTACTGTGCAACTACCACCACCATCCATCCTCATAATTCTTTTCATCTTGTAGAACTAAAACTTTATACACATTAAACAATAACTCTCGATCTCCCCTCCCCTCAGCCCCTGGCAACCACCATTATACTTTTTGTCTTTATGATTTTGAAGTGCTAGTAAGTACTTCATTGTAAGTGGTACTGTACAGTATTTTTCTTTCTGTGACTGGCTTATTTCACTTAGTGTAATGCCTTCAAGGCTCACTTACGTTATATAGCACAGGTCAGAATTCCTTCCTTTAAAAGTCGAATAATATTCCATTGTGTGTATGTACCACAGTATGCTTAACTACTTCTCTGTTGATAGACACTTGGATTACTTCCACATTTTAGCTATTGTGAATAATGTTCCTGTGAACATAGATGTAGAAGTATCTCATTGAAACCCTGCCTTCAATACTTGGTAAATACCCAGAAGTGGAAGTGTTGGGGCATATGTTAATTCTATTTTAAATTTTAAGTTGTTTTCCACAGCAGCTGTACCATTTTACATTCCCACCAACATTTCAGAGCATTCTTAAGTACAGAATGCTTGTCTAATTATTTTGACATATTCCTACTGGGCAGTGAATATTGTGAAGTTTTAAGTGATACATTTTGAACACAAGGTTGTATTTTTCCAATTCATTTTTTCCTGCTGCGCCTATGAGGGTTATGTTCTAAGACCTACTTAATTTATGTTACCAGGTGATTTAGAGCATCAATGGACTTTTTCCAGAACAGAAACACGTGGGGCCGAATTTCATACCTCTAATGGAAAAACAACTGGGACTCCAAGGATTTCTGGCTTAGTTTAAAATAAACTCTATGTTAAAATCTTGTGAGCTGGCAGTTAAGGAATAGATGACCACATATGTTTTCTTCTGAAGGCTCATGATTTTTTTTTTCTTTTTGCACAAAATATGCCAATGTGAACAGGAATGGGGACAACTGGATTACCAAGAGAGACTTGGCTAGCTGAAAAAAAAAAAACAAATTTATATTAAGGTTTGAAAGAGAATCTGTAAGCTTTTCAAATTATCAAGAGAACAGGTTAACATTTGTGGTATTTTTTTTCTGGCTAAATAATATTTGTGTACTCTTAAATTCTGGTTCAAAAATACAGATATAGCTTTCTAAGCGACAGAACCCAATTATGAGAATTCAGAACCCAAAACTGAGAGATTATTAGTGGAAAGTCTCAGTCTTTTGAGGTTATTTTCACAAATCAGTTGGGCACTTTCTCAGAAAATCTTCTGCACTTATCATTTATGTACAATGAGCATAGGGAGGAGGAGAGGAGGAGGAATAAGCTTACTCAGGGAGGAAAATATTCTGATTGCCAGATATTTCATTTTTCCTTTGTTTATTATACTCCATAGAAATACCGATGTCTTTCCTAATAAAACTACTTTCCATCTAAAGTGTCCAGAAAAGGGTTTAATGACCTTGGGTATATGTCAGTTTACTTTACACAGGAAAAATCTAAACATAAATAAATTTAGCAAAAAAAAAGAAAGAAAGAAATTTAGCAAAGACTTTCATAAATGAATAGTGAGGCACAGGGAGCTCTCATCAGGGGGTGGAAAGGCTATGCTGTGGAGGCAAATGAACCTTGAAACCTCACTGCCTTAATACAAGGAATT